AGTGCAAATTGAAAATTATTTTGATATGTCCTGATACAAAGTGAAAATTGTCAGGGTCATGGGTAAGGTATACCCTCTACCCTTGGATGTATGTTGTATACTGATATGGTATGCCTGCACGTATACGGATGTTTCCTATATACGTTAAGGAAATTCATCATGTAACAGAAACGGAGTCCACGGATGGAAGGAGTCCTACTCGGACAGAGCTGGGTCGTTACTGTATCGTGTGAGGTCCGATGTCTCTGAGTTCTACTTAAAACCAATTGACCTGCGGTATAAAAGGGACCCCCCGAGAGGACCTAAGGCATCGAATCTCACAGTCAACACATCCACCACAGCCTACGAAGTCGGAGCCTACAGGAGCCAAGTCGCCGGGTGATCTAGTCGAACCAACTCGACTACGGTCTCGTCGGTATCATCGAGTTCTGCTATTCCCTTTGTAATATGTGGTTTCCATTATATAATCTCATATCAACTAGATTAGGGCTATTACCTATTAAGGGGCCTGAACCAGTATAATCCTTGTTCCCTGTTTGCTTGATGTCGTACTACGTAGATCCTCATATCAGCGTATCCCAATACCCTCTATATCCGGTCTACGGGTATCTCCCGTCGACAAAAATATATACTACTCCCTCCATCTACTTTTGATAGCTATATTTCCAAATCTGAAAAATTTATTTTTGATAGGCATATTTCAATCTAACAACCTATCATTTTAATGACTTTATCGGATGTTTATCGGATTTAATGCGTGACTCTTCATTCTTCCACATAAGATTGGCTAGATGGGCATCGGGAAATGTAAATATTAATGGATCGCTGGTTTACGAGAAATAACTAGTAGCATATTTAAATGGATGATAAGTAGAATTACTTATCCTTGGTCTGTATGTCAAGATGAAATATGACTATCAAAAGTAGATGGGTGGAGTATTTTTTTAAGGAAAACAGCGTAAGAGTGCCTTTTCATTGACCCCTAGGTGTGTAAATCGAAAAAGAGAGAAGTCAAACTGAAAATACATAGTAAACCCAATGCAAAATAGAACACCCAGTGCAAAGTGTAATTCACTCCTCCGCGATAAGTTCACCTGACATCCCTCACGTTTACATCAAGTCTGTTAAGATCCCCAATTCCCAATACCATAAATCTCTACCCCTTAATTATTTAAAACCGTCCAAAGTTAGTCCCAAGACAGTAAACATTAAAATTTTTCTTGGTTTCACTGATGTGGTATATGTCAGGCCCCACATGTCAGTGTACCAGTGAGACGTTATTAGACGGAGAAGGCTCTCCTGGTACAGCAAGACGATACTTCCTCCGTCCCATAATATAAGGGATTTTGAGTTTTTGCTTTCAACATTTGACCACTCGTCTTATTCAAAATTCTTTGAAATTATTATTTATTTTATTTGTGATTTACTTTATTATCTACAGTATTTTAAGCACAACTTTTCATTTTTTACATTTGCAAAAAAAATTTAAATAAGACGAGTGATCAAACGTTGCAAGTAAAAACTTAAAATCCTTATATTGTGGGCCGGAGGGAGTACGATTGAATTTCTTGTTGACCTGACCGCTACTGCAAACTTCATTGTTCAGATTGGAGATTCGATCCACAAATGATCTGAAGCTACGTACCCCTCCAGTATGAAGCTGGTCTGGATAATCTTCAGTCATGTCAGCACGTAACTTGTGCGGTTTTGCCTACAAAAAGCATTTGCTGTAACTTGAGCTTTAATCCGTGCACAATAGGACGGCATACTCCCTCCGTCCATAAATATTTGATACCGTTGATTTTTTTTAACATATTTAACCGTTTGTCTTATTCAAAAAATTTAAGTAATTATTAATTATTTTCCAATCATTTGATTCATTGTTAAATATACTTTTATGTATACATATAGTTTTATATATTTCATAAAAGTTTTTAATAAGACGAGCAGTCAAACATATTTAAAAAATCAACGGCGTTAAATATCTAGGGACGGTGGGAGGGAGTGGTAAATATCATTATGTGTGCACAATTTGCTGTAACAAGCTGCAGCCTGCATCCCAACCAGCTGCATATTCTAGATTAGTTAATCATGGCACAAATTTTGATAATTTGACTCTTTGTAAAAACTAATTTTACAATTAAACCGTGGCCAAAACTTATTTAAAAAATGACCCTTCTATTTAGCGTTAAATCGTATGACGCTGAATTTAGACACCTCAGCGTCAAATAGCACGGCGCTGAATGCACGTTGGCACGCCGACTCAGCCTCCCATCCGCAGTGGCACGGTATTCAGCGTCAGTTGACGTGACGCTGAGGTATCTAAGTTCAGCGCCATACAATTTGGTGCTGAACAAAAGTGTCATTTCTAAAATAAGTTTTAGTCACGGTTTATTTGTAAAATTAATTTTTGCAAAGAGTCAAATTGTCGTAATCATGGCCCGTCGAGCTCCGCGAGCATTTTGCCAACCGGCATGGCCACTTGCTCGCCGCTCTCTGACCTTATGCCTTTGGCTTTCCACATAAGGTCGTCGTGTGGGTGGAAGCCGGGTGACGAGATGTCGGCGTTCCAAGGCGTAACGGAGCCTCGCGAGAGACCTCTTCGACAGGCGCATGAACATATGGGCCCCGACTATACCACATCAGCGAAACCAAGAAAAAGTTAGAATAAATTCATCTGAGGTCTCTTAACTTGTCAACAAATCCGATTTTCATCCTTCAACCGGAAAACTAGATACAACGGTCACTCAACTGTCAAAGCCGGTACAATATAGGTCCCATGGCGGTTTGGACGGTGGTTTTTGCTGACACAATATAGGTCCCATGGCGGTTTGGACAGCGGTTTTCGCTGACATGGTGTCTAGGTGGCTACTTTGACTCAGTGTTCACATTACGTGATGCTTAGGTGGTAATTTGATTTGGGAAATATTAAAAATAGGTGACATGGCGCACGGGGAGGTGTTCATCTGTAGCTTCTTCTCATCTCCCTGTCCCGCTGCTGCTGGCACATGCTGATGCAGCGTGCCACCTTTGAAGTGAAATGCAAAATCAAAGATAATTTACATGTCCCTCCATCGACCCGTACTTTTTTAAAAATGTTTGACCGTTCGTCTTATTTAAAAATTTAAGTAATTATTAATTATTTTCTAATCATTTGATTTATTGTTAAATATACTTTTATGTATACATATATAGTTTTACACATTTCACAAAATTTTTTTAATAAGATAAACGGTAAAAAATATTTAAAAAAAAGTCAACGGCGTCAAATATTTAGGAAAGAAGAGAGTAATAAATATTAGATCGATCACTTTCCCTGTAAATATACACTAGACTTCCTCGGAAGGATCGAGCACATGTCCTGCGAAGACGATGGATTGCAACCTCTCCTCGACGATGAAGAAGGCGAACAGATGGTCGGCAACGAAGTCCACCAGCTTCAGCGGCGGCGGGTAGTAACCATCGTACAGCGAGAACCCGAGATCATCGTCGGACTCCTGCCCACGGGGACGCACTCCGGCGGGAGGTGGTCGTCGACGAACTCCGGCGAGGAGGTGATCCTGTCGAGCAGGTCCGATAGACCGGCCGTCGCGGTCGTCGGGGAGGAAGACGAGCATGGCGAACGACGGGAGGCTGTCGCGGAGCTTGAGGTCGTTGTGGGTGTCGCCGCCTTGTACGGCAGGCGGAGCACCTTGAAGCCGTCGTGGCACGCGACGTGGTGGTAGCACCCCGCCGGCCGCTGCATGAAGGACACCTCGACGGAGCTCCCGTCGTCGAGGCGGCGGAACTCGCGCTCCAGCGCGATGTCGTCGATGGCTTCCACCCGGCCCACCTCCACGGAGCGCTCGGCGACGCCGGACTCCGCCAGTGACGGCCTGATGAGCACGTACCACCGCCTCCTCCTCGCCGGCCACGCTCGTGGTACGTCCGGTCTCCATGTCTCGGTAAGAGCAGCTCACTTCGAACAGGTGGGTGACGTCATCCCAGGCGGGGGCTCTCGGGACGACGATGAACAGCAGGAAGCTTCTCTCCTCGTCGGCGACGGAGAGGAGGCCAACGATGCACTGCGCGAACCCGTCCTGGATGGCCGCCTCGTTCGCCGCCGCGTCGTGGTCCTTGTCGAAGCCGAACGTGTGGACCGGCGGGGAGCGGCCGCCGCCGTCGGTGCGCACGAAGTACAGGCGGCACGAGCTCCGCACCCGCACTCGCCCACCGCCGCTCCCGCTCCTCTCTCCCTCTCTCTCTCTCTCTCTCTCGTCGGATCAGATTGAATCGAGGGGATTGAGGTTCTCTGGGGACGGCGGCGATGGAGATTGGAGAGCCGAGATGGACTTGTGGGGCCCACGTGGTCCCACCATCTTTATTCTTTTTACTGACATGCGGGTCCACGTGGGCTCCACCCTTTTTATTAATTTATGTGTAAACTGACATGTGGGTCCCACGAAGTTTATTATTTTCCAGATCGAATTACCAAGTAAGCGCACGTCAATGCCACACCAGATGAAGACCAAGTCAAATTAGCCATGAAGACGCCACGTTAGTAAAACCGATGTCAAAACCGGTAAGGGATCCGTTGTATCTTTTTTCGGTTGAAGAACGAAAATCGGATTCGTGGAACCTCAGATGAACTTATTCCAAAAAAAAAATTAGTCCATACTACTTTGGGATCAACTTTGAACGGATTTGAATAGTTGAGGGTTTCTATTAGGCCTTGTTCGGTTACTAAGGATTAAATCCCCAAGGGGAAGCAAACCAGGGAGGGATTGAGTCCCATGTCACTCAAACCCTATGGGGAGTAAATCCCTTGTTTCTTCCAATCCCTCTCTTAGAAACCCTGTGTTCGTTTTGACAGGGAATATACTGGCTATTGGCAGCGAATATAGCAGCATATTGCTAGCTCACTTTATGATCTACTAGTATTAGTACTATTAGTACATTTAGTTACCACTGTTTACCTGAAAGCAGTACTGCTAGTACCCTGTGACAGCAGCACAGGAGCAAGATCAAAAATACCATCGGTCCATTTAAGAGAAAATTAGAAAACATATACATGCTTGTTACAACTTCCTGATCAAGAAAGTTGATGCCAATGCAGTGCCAGCCAAAAGTACAGGAGATATTTATACAGTATAATAAGAAGATTGTTCTGATTCCATTCCCTTACACTCAGCAAGTTGAATCCATCTGCCGACAACTTGGATGATTAATTAGTCCAAATGCACATCAAAATCCAAACTTCTCCCAACATCCCCAAAATGACACATCAGTAGACCATTCATTGGATGGTTAATTAGTCTAAATGACACCATCAGAAAACTGCTACCATCAAAAAAATTCTATGGAACATCCTACCAGTCAATTTCAAGGAGCCTACAAGGAAAATCAATTAGTAGACATCAGTTTACCTATCTCAGAAATAGAGAAGAAACAAAACTACAACCATCCAATTATTCTTTTTTCTTCTACCAGACATAATGCAATGAACATTATAATGCGCAAAGTTCCAAACTCAAGTGTATAACATATGTGAATCTTGAGTTGCCTGAATTTTAAGAGGATGCAGAAATCATATATAGTGGATAGACAGATATATGGTGAATGTAGAAAAGAATGACCACCTCAACCTTCTTCTAGTTTCTCTCTTTGAAAATTAGAATGTATGGAAGCACAATTCAGCCTTGACAAAACACAGGAATAATGAAGCACATAGCTAGAGCCACATGGCACCTCAAAAAACATTCTTTCATCAGGTCATTCCCAACCCATGACACTAGACATAGTTTCCATAGACTCCACATCATCAAGAAACTAGTACTAAACACTAATCTTCCAATGCAAACACAACTATTCTATACTTAAATTTAATGTTACTTATCTCACATGATGTCTTGGATGTTGTGTAGAAACCATGTCTCATGCAAGACATGGTTTCCTTCTATTTCCTCATTTATTCACTTGCCACATCATTTTTCATCCTAGGTGGCAGCTTATTTAATGCTATAGACACCATCCTAGTCATTGGGTTGGGAATGGCCTCAGGTTCATCACCTATCGAAATATCCATAAAGACAATTGGGTTCTTCTTCTTTGCCATCTTCCTGAAGCACAGCACTATCCTAGGAAGGAGAGGGTACAAGGTCCCAGGAAGGAGGAGGTGCACGTGCAATCTACAAAACAAACACAATTTATACACATCACTGACAATTCAAATTCAGGATCCAAGATTATATATCCGGAACTAGAGCTAGAGTTACATAAAACCCAGAACTAGAGCTAGCTACCATCAAAGTAGGAGCTGTTGTTTTTCAATCAAATAGAAGGATCTGTTGTTTTTCAATCAAATAGAAGGATCTCATCATCAAATACAGTATAACATGGGTACAGAATTAATCACCTAATCAGCTCATTTAACACTAGACATATTAGTGCTTGAATAGCTACGATAAACATGTTTTTATACAAGTATCATGTTGAGGAAAACAAATCTGTTAGTCTAATGAGACTAAAAGCTACTGTTGTTAGTTTAAAATAAATCAGTTAAGTATACATTACTGTATATACCACTGCATTTTGTTGTTAGTTTGCTTGTGAAACAATGACGACAGATTTAGTTTACAATTCAGAAATGTTAAACTAATTACAAAGTACCTCCATATCTCTACAATCCTCAAAATCAGGACACCCAACCCTTGTAATTTCCAAACAGAAATATAACCAACCACCACAAGTTGGGACACCGGAAGCACCAAGATCCGAGTACTTCACTGTAAAAACTTGTATAGTCAATTTTACAAGACATGCTCAGGCAAGCATCGATCACAACATCAGTCACACTAAGCAAAACTAATCAAGGCAAACATGTTTCCATAGCCACCGTACAGCTCTCACTCTCGCCATCTGGTGCCTCAAAGCCACCGTGAATCAAGAACTCAAATCAAGAACTAGAGTTGGGCGGTGCGGCGGCGGCGGCAAATCAAGAACTCATCCCCACCCAACCAAGAAAAAAAAGCTCCACGCCCAAATCAAGAACTCACCAGATCGAGCAGGATACGAGGAGGACGACGACGAATCGCTGAGCGCTCACACACTAGATCGAATCACGGCGAGACGAGAGATGGTGGCAACGACGGGAAAGGGAGAAGAGAAGAAAACCCTAACCCTAGCTTTGGAAGAGGAGGCGAGAGGTAGAAAGGCAGCGTGCTCACCGGAGATAATATGGCGGCCGGAGGAGAGCGCCGTGCCGTCGCCATCGCCTCCGGGTCGCGCCGCCCCCGCCGTCGCGTCTTCGCTGCACCGCCGCCTCCTCGAGGAAAACTTCCACGCCGCCTCAGGAGATGATTTATTCCCGGGCCTAGAGAAGAGGGAAACCCCGTGGTGGGCCGGGCTAAAATCAGCGGCAGTGCTTAACCGAACGCACAATTTCGCATGGGCCGGGATTTTTTTCCTCGCCGGGGTGATCCACGGGGATTGGGACCCGATCCCGGCCGGGAACGGCCCAACCGAACAAGGCCTTACTGGGGGGATTGGGGATCAGACGTAAAATTGAGGAATGTCAGGTGAACTTATTCCTTCTCCACGTGCACACACGGTCCATGGTGGACTAATCCACCGATGGGTAGGCCCAAGTCTATCGGTCCAGGACGGGTTCGCGCAGTGCATTGGTGGCCTCCTTTCCGTCCCCGTGCAGGAGCTCCACTTCGACGCCGAGACATGGAGAGGACCGGACGGACCACGAGCGTGGCTGGCAACGAGGAGGCGGAGTCCGGCGTCGCCGAGCGCTCCGTGGAGGTGGACCGGGAGCTGGTCCGGGTGGAAGCCATCGACGACATCGCGCTGGAGCAGGGATTAGTTATCGTTTTTTCTGTTTCGGTAGTAGAAGAGATCGAGCAGGGATCGGATCGTGGGATGGCATGGTTAGTCCTTGATCTGGCAAGATCGCGCATGTAACAACCTCCTGTGTGGAGAAGAATAAAAGGAAGAAGAGAACTCAGAAAAGCTGCGCAGTTTTGCAGCACCAAAACGTTGTTATTCTCTGGTTTTCTGCATTGTCGTTTTTCGTCAGACAAGCTAGGATAGCGACTGAAATCGCGTGTGTTTGCTGACAACTCCGTCGTGGTCTCCTTCATGCAGCGGCTGGCGGGGAGCTACCACCACGTCGCCTGCCACGACGGCTTCAAGGTGCTCCACCTGCCGTAGAAGGCGGCAACGAGCGGCGACACCCACAACGACCTCTAGCTCCGCCGCCGTGGGCAGGAGTTCGACGATGATCTCGGGTTCACGCTGTGCAACGATTACTACTCGCCGCCGCTGAAGTTGGTGGACTTCGTCGCCGACCATCCGTTCGCCTCCTTCTAGCTACTCCACGCCACGACCCCTTCCCCTGCGGCCGCTCCTCGGCGCTGCTGCGACCGGCCGCCTCGCCGCGCGACGCCCTGCGAAGACGAAGGATTGCGACCTCTCCTCGACGATGAAGCCCTGCGAGGGCGAGGAGCTCGCCCGCCGCCGCTCCTCCTCTGCTCCGCTAGCCCGCTCTGCCCGCTCGTCCACGCCTCGCTGCCGAGGTGCTGTCCTGCTCGTCGGCCTCCACGCGCGCTCGTCGGCCTCCCTCCGTCGCCTGGAGAGAAAAGAGAGGAGAGAGAGATGAAGAGAGGGGAGATGGGGAGAGATGAGGAAGAAGAGGAGGGGTGAGGATGAAATGTGGGGCCCACGTGGGCCCCACCATTTTTTATTAATTTGTGTGTGAAACTGGCATGTGGGTCCCATGGGTTTTATTATTTTTTTCGATCGAATTGCCACGTAGGCGCCATGTCAATGCCACGCCAGATGAAGACCGAGTCAAATTAGCCATGTAGGCGTCACGTTAGCCAAAACCACCCTCAAAACCGTCGAGGGACCTAATCTGCACCGGTTTTGATAGTTAAGGGACACATTGTATCTGGTTTTTCGGTTGAGGGACGAAAATCGGATTCGTTTACAAGTTAAGAGACCTCAGATGAACTTATTCCTCGTACAAGTATGGGCGGTCGTTGAGGCCCATACAGGCCTTGTGTAACAAATAGGCACCACGCAACACAACACGTGTACCAGTAGAGGTAATACAAGGAAGTGTTTGTTGTAAAAAAAACGTGATCACTCGCATAATTTCCAATCTTGAAATCACCTACTGTTTTTTCTTTTTGAAACAAACCCGAACTTTCATTACTCCATTAGCTGAGATATCCTCGGCAACCAAATTTGTAATACAAGATGGCATAGAAACAAGCACCGGCTCAGAATCTGTCAAGCACAACGATCCCAGCTCAGCAAGTGTATGGGCTACTCTATTTCCTTCTCTTGGCTTATAATTAACCCAGAAAGAGATAAAATTTGAAGACAACAAATGCTTCAGTTCCCATATCATGTTGAGTTGTGATCCAAATTCATTTGCACTTAATAAATGCCAGCTTCTACCGTAGTGGAGCGGAGGCCCATCGCCGGGAGGCTTGGGTTCCACTATATATATACCTTTTGTAAGCCGCCGTGCGGCGTCGTAACCTCACCCCAGATATAGTGAAGATATTTTGCTGGCTGGCGCCCGTGGTTTTTTCTCTCCTACTTTGGGAGGGTTTTCCACGTTAAATCTCGTGTCTTCTGTGATTGATCTATTGTTATTTATCATTTGTTCGCTTATCGTTTCCTAACATATCACAACATATCACAGTGTTATAGTCGGGACCATTGTTGCATCAGACTCCAAAATGAGCTCAGGATATAGCAAAGAGAGCTGACAATCGGATACACTTTGGAAAGAGGCAACAATACATGATATATACCACTGGAATTATGTGCACAAGGTTCATAATCATGAGACTAAGATCAAGAACCGCTTACCCACTCATGAGCGATATCTTCGGATTTCACAAAAACCATTAATGAACCAATGAAATCTGAACAGATCCTGTGACAAATTTAAAATAAAGTTTGATTTTCTTTTTAAAAAAAGATTCACCAAACAACCGAGCGGTTTGTGTTTTTTACCCAGTCAACCGGCATCGTAAACCATGGTGTAGGACTATCGGGGGAAGAAGAAAAAAAACACTTGTACGTGGATGGAGTAATTTACAGGGCAACTTATCAACAGCTCGGATTCCCTAATACAACTGCAGAACCAAGTGATGAACCAATGGTGACTAGAGTGTCCTATATTTCACTGGAAACAGTTAACTAGAAAAGCGAGCCGATTCTTCTGCTTCTAATGCTTTCTCGCTAACTCCACAAACAATTTCTTCAGGGGCCTCCTCTACAAACTACAACATGAAAGAAATGCATGGTTAAATGGATAGTTGCCATGCAGAAGAAATATCTGCGTACACTTTCTGAAATGAGATGGGCCAGCAACGGCATCATACTATGGATTTCTGGCTGCATCTCAAGAAAGGCGCTTGGAGAGCCGGTTGGAGAATAACGTATCATTAAGTCGGTTGTCGCGCAGGGATCCAGGATAAGAGATATCAGCCAAATTACCCTCAAAATATCAAAATATCCGGTAGATATAGGCCTTCAGACCCTCATCAGCAACAAAATTGTGACCGATTGATTTGCATCACCTGGAATTATCAAAAGTAGTCAAGTAGATAATTGGTTGGCAAAATGCATCAAGGAAGATCGTGTCTGAACAATTTATGGCAAGAACATGGGGGTGATTCACTTACACATGGGGATTGGAGGGGTGAATACCTGAGATGTGGTCGATCGGCAGGATTCGCACCCGCGGCAGAGGTAGATGCAGACGTTTGGAGGAGGAAGAAGATGATGAGCACCGGACTTGACCTGAATCCCCTTCTTCATGGACATCTCCGAGCAGTGTCAATACTGTAATCCGAAACGAACACTGGTAGAATTATCCATTTTTTAAATAGATGTCGTCGGTAACTTTTTTATTAGGCGTCGTTTCATTAAGAAAATACATAATTTCTAATTTATTTTCTAAGTTGTTTTATCACTTAAAGTACCTTAGGCAGGCATGGTTATATCTTATACTTTTGTATAAAATTTTGGATGATTATGTAAATATCACTTAAAGTACCTTAGGCAGGCAGGCATGGTTATATCTTATACTACCTCTGTTTTTTAATAGATGACGCCGTTGATTTTTCTTACATGTTTGACCATTCGTCTTATTCAAAAATTTTATGCGAATGTATAAAATATAAATCACACTTAAAGTACTATGAGTGATAAAACAACTCATAACAAAATAAATTATAATTACGTAAATTTTTTGAATAAGACAAGTGGTCAAACATGTGAGAAAAAGTCAACGGCGTCATCTATTAAAAAATGGAGGGAGTACTTTTATATAAAATTTTGGATGATTCTGTAAATATCACTTAAAGCACCTTAGGCAGGCATGGTTGTATATCTTATACTTTTGTATTTTGTATTTCAAGCTAGAACGGTGTACTTCTGTTTCAGTATTACAGCCATGATTGCTGACAAAACAGGGGTGCATAATATGATGCTGACAATAGCCCAATCATGCATTCATCGTCAGGTTCCGAAACCTTCCCTAACACAGCATAGATACGAAAAGGTACTCTCAAGGTAGGAAGTAGGAACCTACTCCCTCCGTCCCATAAAGAATATGACTCCTCCTAAGTTGATGTATGTGGACATAGGGGTGTCCACATACATTGTCCTCCTAGGTTGATTTTTTTTTTTTGACGGAAAGAGTAAGTTGCTCTGAGCATGACCCAATCTAAAAAATGAACGGATGAAGAACACGATTATCTCAGCGCAACTCCATTTAGTTTGATATACTCCAATCCAAGGCAAGGGGGTGGAAATCAATCATGAGTTCACGATGGACCACCGAATACCTGCAATACGATAAATCAAGTCAAAGCATTGGTGGATAAATCAGAATCTAAATCTGATTAAGGCTGCAAACTTACTCCGGTTAAAATGTCTTTTGGAAGCTTTGGTTTAGTTTTGGCGTCTGTATCCTCAACTAGTTTATTTTCCGGAATTGGGCGACCAATTTTTTCTTCTCGAACTTCACTGAATTTGGTTCCTTCCGTCTTCTGTTTCTGCTTTCAGGATCTCAGAAAGTTCATAGAAATTCCCGTACTAAAGTTTAAAAGTATAATAACATAAGAAAAATGCTTAATGCTCAATATAGTTTGTATTATGTACAATAATAGTAAAAAAATATAGAAGGATGTAGTAATATTGTTGTAAAAGTACAGTAACACGTCACGTTACTGTAGAACACATAGGACATTACTGCACTTTTGGCAGTAACGTCGTAGTAAAATTGTAGTAGACCAGGAATCTAAACAAAAATATATGGGTTAAAGCCTCACATACTAACCATATACTTGTT